CGCAGCCTGCGCCGATGCTTCACCTTCTAGCAACATCCACCGAGCAACGGCGCTGGAGGGAGGAATGTACCATTCCCAGCCGGCCGCACAGGGGAAGCCGGGAAAGACACGGATAAAATGGAGGCAGCGGCCACCGGCAGCGATGGGGAGGATGTGTGGGCACAGCGATGGGGACGATGACACGCAGGGCACGGCGATGGGGAAGATGCAGCGGGGTCCCACACCACGGGAAGGATGCAGGAGGGTCCCACACCAGGGGGTCGGGAGCAGCCGCCCCAGAGATGCTGAACGCGGGGCTGGGGTTGCCAAGGGGAGGGAGAGGCGGAGGATGCTCTGCTGCAGCATCCCTCTGCACAAGAAGAGCAGGGGGGAGGAATTGCCCAGACCCTTCCCAGGCTTTGCATGGAGCAGGGTAAGGGTAAGGATAAGGGTAATTTGCCCCACGTGTGTCCTCTCTGGAGTGATGCAGCCCCAGCTGGGGGGCACAGGGGGGGTTTCGAGGGTCCTGGGGCAGCCAGCAGAGCACAGACACCACGCAGACCCCATCACAGAAGAAATGTTATTAATCGAAGCCCACGAAGGGCGAGGCTGAAGGGGAATCAAGCTCCCAGCCCAGAACACGTCCAAGGGAAGGGGCACAGAGTGAACCAGGTTTTGCTCTCCTGGGTCAGGACCTGAGGGAATCGCAGTCTGGAGAGCTCAGTGTGATGGAGACTTCTCCTCCCACCGCCCAGCCACAGGCAGCAGGAGAGGGGGAAGAAAAATTGTCCCTTTACATAGCAAAGTGCTTCACGTGGGCAGAAAACGTGTCCGGGACAGAGGAAGAGGCGGATGGTGCAAACACAGCATGCACCCACCCAAACACACAGAGAGGTCATCGAACCGTGGAATCCCAGAATGGTTTGGGTTGGAAGGGACCTTAAAGCCCATCGAGTCCTTCCACGGGCAGGGACCCCTCCCACTAGCCCAGGTTGCCCAAAGCCTCATCCAGCCTGGCCTTGAACCCCTCCAGGGATGGGGCATCCACAGCTTCTCTGGGCACCCTGGGCCACTGCGTCACCACAGGTGGGCTGCGATGGGTGAGGGGTCAGCAGAGCAGTCCTGCGCTCTTGCACTGTGTTACCACCAAGTGAAAGCATTATTTTGGGCAGAACTGGGACTACACTGGGGCTGGGAGCTGCACCCCCATATCCCAGCTCTCCACATCCTCCCTCTGCTCCTTCCCCAGCCCCTTCGGGTCATTTATTGCCCGTCATGCCATGAGCACACATCACGCCCCGGATTCATTTGCCAAGTCTACCATACAGGTGCAAAAATTAAATTAGCTTATCTGTTTGCTCTGCCATGGAAAAAAAAAAAAAAACAAACCAAATCCTACCACGTTTGAGGCTCCCCAAACACAGACCTAGAGAAGACAAAGAACAGGCTGTCTGCAAAGAGAGGAGGTTGAAAAACCCAAACCCACCCACAGCTCCTGCAAAGCAGCGAGGCAGGGAAGGGTTAAAAGGAAAGCGTGAGCTGGAAATGAAGGAATGCAGCCCAGCAATGTACAGCTGGCACCCGCACAGCCCCAGCCCCAGCTATTCAATTGGAAAGAGAGGTGATTACCACAGGACTGCAAAAACTTGTCGGGATTATTCAGAATCAATTAAGTGCCTGTTAAACCACAAGCTCCTCAAGGGCTTTCATTCTCCTCGGGGTTGAGCAGAGGCGGAGAACTGGGCAGGTCCCGAGCCAGGGGGAGAGAAACTCACCCAGGCAGGGGGGGTTTGGGCAGGGGGGGGGTCAGGCAGATGGGGATTCGGGCAGATGGGGTTCACTCTGCTCCAGCCCAGCACCAGGAGCCCGCGCTCGGCTCGTTGATCCCCTCCAAGCCTGGGACAGGCTGAGGAGTCACAGAAACTGCAGGTGAGGGTGGCGGTGTCACGATGAGAAAGGAGAGACACCCTCATTCCTCACGAACCCCAGAGGGACCCGTCCCTGCTGGTTCCTCGGTGGGGTAACGCAGGACCCCACACGCTCCATCCCAGGCTGAAGATGCTCCAAAGAGTTAAAATCCTGGGTCTGGAGGAGGAAATATGCTCAAGGAAGGAGGCAGATGGCATTGCCTACCACGACAGCCTTCCTCTAAATAAGATGGGAGGAGAAACCAGCCCCCTCCACCGCTGTCTGGAAGGTCCATTCCCACCCCTGAGCTCCCAGAGGGTGTCTCAGTCTTCCCTTCCCAGCCCCAAAACAACTCCAGCACTAACAGGGAATGTTTCGGGGGGCTCTGGGAAACCGTTGTGTTTTTCTGTGTCCAGGAAAACGAGCTGGGAGAGCCCACGGGGGCTGCAGAGCTTGAGGTGAGCCTCATCTCTGCTGTGGAGGAGACAAGGAAAACTGCCCAGGTGACGGCAGGGACCATCCTTCTCCAGCAAAAAACCTGCTCCAAGCCCAGTTCCTCACTTTCCTGTTTGAACTGGAGGCTCTTTAACATGCTAGAATCCTACCCAGAAGGTAGTTTTCTCTAGATTGTCTCTTTCCCAGTCTCTCTGATGCAATAGGAGGATAGAAACACACAAGAGACAGATTTCAGGTTGTGATGCTCACACACAGCATCCGTTCAGCATCCCCCATCCCGCTCCTGGGCCAGCTGCGGCTCCGGCTCGGCATCGGCCACGTGAGGTGGCCATTCGCCTGCACACACACACCTTTAATACTCGGGGGGGAAAAAAAAAAAATTAAAAATCCCTGTCAAGACCACGCCCAAGGGATTTCACAGGGATTAAAGCAACTTTGCTGAACACTCAATCACATCAAAAACAAGGTAAAGAAAACCTGATGGGATAATTAAGGGATCTGCTGCATCAACATACATGATGGCACACCCAGGAGCCCTCAGTAAATATGCTCTCCCCCATCCCCAAGAGAGGAGAAAAACCCCACTGGCAGTGAATGCTCTGCCATAGACTCAAAAAACCCCGTTAAACCCCAACAATTTACCCTGGGCTTTGGGGCTGCTGAATTATCCGTGGATTATTAACGCTAAACCCTGCCACCAGGCGTGGTCCTGGGATGGGAGGTTAACATCAGGGCACGTTCGAAAAGGGATCTGAAAGGATAAAAGATATAAAACCACCCTTCTGCTCGAGGGGCAAAGCCCTACCCTCGTCCCCCAGCATCCCAGGAGCTGATCAGCCCCACGGGCGCCAGCCCAGAGCCTCATCTCTGCTGGAGATGGAAACCAGCTCCCAGCATCCGTCCCTCCTTGGGCAGCTCGTGCCTTCTTGCTCTTGTGCAGAGACCTTCAGCTGTTCCTACAGAGCAGGGAAAAATCCCCCTGAACGTGCAATGCCAGGAGCTGGACAAGCCAGAGCGGTTTGAGGGGGGATGTTCCCCACACCAGCCTCTGCAGGGAGCATCACTCTCAACCTCAGACCTTCAGAGCCAAAATTTTCCATTGTCTGGGAGAAAATCCTGCAAAGGGCACCCAGCTGAGCCGTCACCCCTGGCCTCACCTACCCCAGCTGCGGGGGTAAATTAACCGAGACCCTCAGAGGGGCATTTTAATTAGAGAGGGATCAAGGTGCTGTGGTGGGCTCAGCTGGGGACCTTTATCTGCAGAAGCTTCTTGGTGGCTCGCAGATGTTTGCCCGTGCCGCGGGGCTAGGACCGTGCTGGGGTTTGGGTGCTTTGAGAAACTTTGTCCTGTTTTATTAAATGCCTCCAGAGCTGCAGTGTGAGAGTTCGGTGAATTGCAGGGAACAGGACACAGCGGTGAAGCTGAAAAATAAACGGAAGCAAGATCCGTGATACCCACAAACCGCGTCAGAGAGTAACAGCACCACACGCACATGCACCGGCCAAACAGATAAATATAAAGATGAGGCACTCCCCAGGATTAAATTGTTCAGCTGCTCGGGAGTGCATTTCACTCATCGCTGCTAGAAGAACATGTTCTTACCACCATCATGTGCATTTGATGCTGTTAAACGAGAGGAATTGCACAAGAATGCAAACTCACCTCCCTGGGAGGGGGAACAGAACAGGTTTGGGTGACACTTGGAGTGACACCTTCATGCCACTGTGCAGTTTCTTCTTTAAACTATTACGAAGGAACTTTATATAACACAATCCAAGGAGGTGCACAGGAATTTTTAAAATTCTTTTGAGCCCGTACGATGAGTGACCCGTGGCCCCGTGGCGATGCAGCAGCCTGACACCCAGGACCAGGGGGCAAGAGATGGAGAAAGGAGCTTTGCTGCATCTCAGAGCCCAGATTTCCAGCACTGAAACCACAGAATCGTCGAATCACAGAGTGGTTTGGGTGGGAAGGGACCCTAAAGCCCACCCAGTGCCACCCCCTGCCATGGGCAGGGACCCCTCCCACTAGCCCAGGTTGCCCAAAGCCTCATCCAGCCTGGCCTTGAACCCCTCCAGGGATGGGGCATCCACAGCTTCTCTGGGCACCCTGGGCCACTGCCTCACCCCCCTCAGCATCCAAAAAATCTTCCTCATTTCTCATCCAAACCTCCCCTCTTCCAGCTTCAACCCGTTCCCCTGGTCCTGTCCCTCCGCTCCCTGGCCTGAAGTCCAGCTTTGTTGGTGCTGCCCTGGAAGGAGCCTCTGCCTTTGCCCTGGAAGCTCGACCCTAGTGAGAAGAAAGGGGGCTTCCCGTCTGGCATGATGATGTCCCCAGAAGAGCTCGTGAAGTGTCCCCTGTGCTCCAAGCCCACATCTGCACCCATGCCTATATCCCTGAGCAAGCAAACACCTTCGCTGTTCCTCCTTTGCATGGCTCCAGAGTTCCAGTGAGCCACCTCCTTTCTCTCTTTTCTCCCTAAAACGCATCTTTCCCATAACACCCCTGCACGTGGGACTT